AAAATTAAACTGAATATGACACTATATTTTAGAGTAGTTCCATTTAAGATCAAGATTAGTCCAAATGACTTAACTAAGAAGGATATGAAAGCCAATGTGAAATTATCTGGTTTTGCTGGGAGAGAGATGCACAGTAGCTTAGGTTCCAAAGAAGCCCTCATCGTTACCAGGATCAAACAGTATAACATAGTTATGCAGTGTCTATCAAAAAGAGACTGCATTTTGTGAGTTTCAGGGTTTTGGGAGATAATTTACTTTTAATATATACATAAAACTTCTGCTCTCATTAAAGAGCACTAAATAAACTACATGGCTTATAACATCACAGATGAAAATACTCAAAGGTTTGATCACACTAAGGTCAAGTGATTAAGTTATTTTAATTTCTTGCAAATTTGTATGATAATTAAAGTGTCTTCTCCTGCTTCCAGTTTTGCTTTTGAAACACTTAAACTTCTTTCATAATATTTATCATAAATAGCGATATAAAATGTTAAATTTCTACATGTAGTTAGGAATAGCTATTCAAAAGACTGAAATTGGCCCCTTTAAAAATCCAATTCATTTTATAATATAATTTTATCACCTCAAATATCATTTAGTCTCACATCATGATTATTTTCATACTAAAACACTTAATATTTAATCTCAAATAAATTAAAAAATACATCAGATGGTAGAGTGAAAACTTTTTCTCAAGTTGCTATCAATCTTTTCAAAATTATCTCAGGAAATAATTCTATCTGGCAAAGGATTTTATTCAGGAAAGGCTGTTGTCTAAACTCAAGAAATTTGCTTTTCATCATGTTTTAATTGGAGGATTACAGACAGTAGATAAGGAAGGGACATCAGAGGCTTACCTCTCCTAGGAAGTCGTTGGAAGAGAATCTATCGTAGTCCCAAACTGTCACCTCCAAGGTTTTCTTCTTCAGCTGGAGTTGGAAGACAACTGTCAGAAACTTCATTTCCAACATAAATTTTATATCATTTATAGGCAATTTTGGACTTGCTATTTATTTTATTTACGGCTATGTAGCTTTATATTAAATATTGCATAAAAATTTAAAGATTGATTTGTAGTCAGTTCTAATGTTTAATTATAAAATAGCTCATTATTTTGTGGACAAAATGAAAAGACCTGCATCCTATTGTTCTATTCAGCCCTCATTAAAATAAACAAAGCGGAATCGATACTTTTTAAATATAGGAAAACAAAGGACTATAAAAAGGAAGATTTATTTGCATTTTCTTTTTGTTTCAGTGATTCCCAAAGCATAGCATTGCCTTATTTGTATAGAATTTAACTTAAAAACTCAGATTATAATTGATTTAGATCATCAAAATCAAATAACTCTTCCAGAGAACAAATTAAAAACCCCATTTTAAAGATCATTTTTGGTGTGTAAACTGTTTTATACAGATGATTATTTTCTGTATTTATTTATATTTTCTTCTCTGAATTTGAGCATAGGAACTAACAGTTATTTCCTGCTATTCATGAAAGTTATGAAATTCAAATCTTTGAAAGTATGTTAATATGTTTGTCTGGAACCTCTTATTCATCATTATATTATCTATGCTAATTAATTTCACCCTCTTCTGCAGAGTTTCGTTTACTAATGCCTCCTTTTCTTAGGAGGGCAGAATATAGAGAAATGCATTCCTAAGATATTGTAGGGTGGACTAAACATTTCTATGCATTCAATCCTATTTTTTCTTTGCATTCCTTTTGAAAATCAAAATACAGCCATTTGAAAATATTTCTCCCACTGTATAAATATAATCTATTCTACTGAAATTCATTTCGCTAAATTTCTTGTTCATTTTTTTTTGTTTTGTCAAAGTATGCACATTTGCGTTCACCTTTGAGCTTCAGTCATTTATTATCACTGGCTGTATTTCTTCTTGTATACACACACACACACACACACACACATATTTAAATTTTGTGTGTTTGAATGTCTTACCTGCATGGATGTGCATGCACCCATGGAGGTCAGAAGTGTGTGCCTGGTCCCCTGGAGCTAGAGTTATGTATGGTTGTTAGTAGCCATGTGGGTCCTGGGAACCAAAGCTGGATCCTCTACAACAGCAATCAGTGCTCTTTACCACTGAGCCATCTCTCCAGCATCCCACTAGCTGTATTTCTTACATGTCTTTATTGAACGCCTATTGTCTGTCTGGAAAACCTTGGTATGGATCCCAGCCTTCCCAAATATTGTCATTACTACACTTCGATCAGAAAAAACATCTGCAGGTGGATCTCTATGAGTTCAAGGCCAGCCTGGTCTACATAATGAGTTCCAGGAGAGCTGGTGCTACACGGAGACCCTGTCTCAAAAAGACCAAAAAAACAAACAAACAAAACAAAACAAAAAAAACCCCAAACATCTGTCATCTAGAAAACAATCATTACATACCTGCTCCATGGAAATACTTTTATAAATTACTGTTTGGTTCCACTCAGGATTAAGACTTTTCTGGACGTATTTAGTCCTTCTCTTGTACTCAGCACTGAATTGGAAGAAAAAAAATAGGTATTTTGAGTTTTCACCTTAACTAATGATTTCACAGTCAAATTGAAGGATACATTTGGTCTCAGATCACTGCATAGTCATCTCATCCTCCTTTCTGAAACTTCATTTTTTGTTGAATACAAAATGACAAACTGAAATTATGTTGCTGCCTTTAGTTTCTCCTATACTACTGAGTATGTTTTAAAATACATTCTTCAGTATTCTATTATTATTCCCTTAATGTTGGAGATAATTACATAAACTATATAATAACATTGATATCCTCTTGCCTCAAAAATAATTTGTTCTTTATCTTTTCAATAGTTTTACACCTAATCATGTTAGCAATGCTAAATGGACTTTCTTTTTTTCCCCCTCTAAAAATAGTGACAATAAGAGGACATGTCACACATGTGTGCAATCCCAGTACTTGGGAGGTGGAGGCAGGAAGGTCAGAAGCTCAAAAACATCTTCAACTCCTTGACCAGTTTGAACCTCAAAAAATTGAGTAATAATTGCATTTCTAGAGAAAAGGATAAAAATGGCTCTTACTATATCTGAAATTTCAAAAGCTTTCACAAGTCTACATTTTGAAACTCTTTTTAAAGTAAGGCATTCACCGTAGCTATAAAGTAGTTTCAATTAAATATAAATTCTTGCTTTATGCCAATTACTTATCTTAAAATTGAAAAAATTATTTCTTCATTGATTTCAAGTTGGAGTATTTCAATTAATCCCATTTTTTCCATTCCCTCTGAGCAATCATTAAAAGCTTATATACTATACAAGTAAAAACAACCTATGTAAAAACTCATCCTTTCTAAGTCTAACAGAACATCTATAGCTGGCACTGAGCAGTGGTTTGAGTTGTAATTAGATTGCTGCTACCTACTATTAGCAGATGGTGCTCACATATGCAAGGCTTTTCAACAACTCTTTTCTTGAATTCTCTATCTCAACTTAAAATTCATTGATTCAATAATACTTTATCTCTGGTGGCCCTATCTACTTATTTGGAAGTTCTGATGAGAGTCTGGAATTTACAAATTACCTTCTCTAAACACACTGAATACTGAAATTGGAATCTGTAATTCTAATCCAAACCAACTAGAGTGATTCTTCCTACATTCCTTTTCTCAAGTGCTGCCATTACCCATTCTAAATAAAGCATTGAGATCCAAATCTCAATTCATTACCCACTCTTAGAGAAGGTTTAAAAGCCACATGTCTTCCTTCTTTTTCTTGTTTAATTCTCGTCTCTGCAAGACACCAGGGCAGTCATTCCCAAAATTGTCTACACAATAAAACTGAGTTCTGATAAGCGATAAGGACAGTTAAGACTCCATTCCCCTCTCCCTCCAAGGAGATTCTGATTGAAGTATTCTGGGACAAGGCTTAAACACTGAGATTTTTGAAAACTGTTATGTAAAGGTCATATGTAGTGAAATATGAGCCACAGAATTTGTGTCTCATCAGACCTCACACATCAGCCATTATAAAATGATTTCAATATGAAAATAAACACGTCTTCTCACTAAAAATCATGCCACTTGAGTGTACAAAAATAAGAACATGATTTGATGTCTGTCCTTCAAAATAAATTTCAAACACATCTAAAGAAATATATACTCAATGATTAAATAAACAGGAATTCTTATAGACTGGATTGAAAGTATATTTGTGCACAAACTTTTCATACAACTTTGTCAGTATCTAGTAAAGTTTATGCACCCATACCAGAATATTTCACTTCTACTCCAGAGAATTTCTCTCACTTGTACATAGGAAATTTATTTAAGAATATTCACCACAATATAATATATGCTAAAGGTAATAAATATATTATTATATATTCATTCAATAAAATACTATGCACTAGTAAATGAAGATGAATTAAATGTCTACGTATGAAAAGATAAATCTTTTTTTTTTTTTAATCTTTTTGAGACATGGTCTCCCTGTAGTCCCAGCTGGCCTGGAACTCTCTCTGTAGACCAGGCTGACCTCAAACTCACAGAGATTTGCCTGCCTCTCTCTCCTGAGTGCTGGGATTAATGGCATGTGCCATCGTGGCTGGCCCTCGAAAGATAAATCTTAAAATGATTTCATTTAAAATCTTGCAAAAGATAAATATATTAAGGTTAAGACATCATTATACAAAGTTAAAATCAAGTGAAACAAGAGTATTTTATTTATCTTATGTACCTGTATATAAGACATCTATTTAAATATCATAAAAAAAACTTGGGAAGTATAAATACTAAATTCAGTTTGATGGTTATTGTAGGTAGACAAGGAAGTGATTTTGAAGGCTCCAGGTATACCTGAAACATATATTTTATTAGGAGACTATCTGAAGAAAAATATTATTAAGGTTTGAGAAATGAGTTAGCAAACACACATTTGCTACGATATAATTTTCAGGAATTCTGAGAGGTTTCATAACAAGAAAATGAAGTCTTTGGTAAGTTATGTCCCTTATATTTTGTGCTTGTGATCTATTTATTTATTTATTTACTTATTTATTTGTTTATAATTTTATTTTATTTTCCTTAATTTGGCTTTTTGAGACAGGGTCTCCCTGTAGCCCTAGATGGCCTGGAACTGGCTATGTAGATTAGGCTGGTCTTGATCTCACTGAGATCTCTCTCTGCCTTTCCAGTCATGTGCCACCACACCTGACTTAACTATTAATTTCTTCATTTCCAAATTTAGTCATTCTTTTCACTTATACAGTTTGTAAACACTATCAAATACTAACTCACTGTGCAAAATGTCAATTGGACAAATGTAAATAAACCCTTATTTAAAGGTATTATCACACGATCATGAGTTTTATATACACAGGAAAAACATTTTATAAAGTAATTACATGGAAATAATAATAAGTAGCATTATGCACTTACTGGCTTCTTAGGTAGAGTTCTAAATGTTTTATATGTATTAGCTTATTTAATCCTAAAGGTTTCCATATAAAACAGGTAATGTTTATAATCTAATTTAATAGGTAAGAAGAATAACTGAAACTCAGAGGAGTTAAGATGTGTTGGCAAGGCTACATATTTATTAAGTGGTAAGATTAGTATTCATGTATTAAAGAAATCCTGATCTTTGCTCATGTTAGATGGAGTTAATTAAACTTATCATAAACTACCATTTAGTCATCTGTTCTAATAGGCTTTATTAACTAAAATATGTATTTTTTTCTGTAATTATATATATACTCATACACAAAAAAGTGAAATTAGACCAACTTGTGCTGCACAGTGATATTCTAAATGGCATATCCTATATGAATACTGTGGAATGATTAGGGACAATTATTATAAGTATTTATGTTTTAACAGATAAAGTCAGAAGTAATCTAAACTGACAAATTAAAGCACTCATTTTTAACAGAATATCTTAATATCAATGAGTTTGACTTTCTAATTCTGTCCAGACTCAAACCCGGTTCCACTGTATTTTAAAAACTCTTTTTATATTATTTGAGAATGTCATATAAGGCTATAATATATTTGGATTAAATCCACCCCCATTTCTTCCCCTCCAATTTTTCCATTATCTCCCCCAACTTTTCCCTCCCACATCCATGTCCTTTCACTTTTTAAACTCAAGGAGTCTACCTAATGCTGTCTGTATGTGTATGGGTGTAGCACCATCTACTTAGAGAATGGGCAGCCACTCAGGGGCCACATCTGTGAAGAAAACTTACTCTCCTTCCCCAAGTAGCCATCAATTGCCAACAGCTCCTCAACTAGATGTAGAAATTCATGAGTCCCTCTCCTCCATGTTGGGATTAGCTGGCTTGATCTTGTGAAGGTCTTATGCCCTTTCCACTGTTTTGACTGCTTTGCATTAAGAACCAAGAAATCCTTTAGCAGATCTTTTCTCATTTTTCTTTGCCCCCATCCCTCCCTCCCTCCCTCCCTCCCTCCTTCCCTCTTTCCCTCCTTTTCTCCTTCCCTCCCTTTAACTAGTTAATTTAAAGGTAGGGTGTCTTTCTGTAGTCCACTATGATCTTGAACTCTTGTGATCTTCCTGCATATCCTGCATAGATCTTTTTTGTTGTTTTGTTTTGAATTTCCTGACCTGTAAATCTGGTCACACAAAGCCATTCCTTTAAAAACTGTTTTAGTTATCACTTCCTATTATTTTGTTATTGATGCTGTAAAGCTGTGTTGAAACTTTATACAACTGAAAATTGTCACAATTCTCAATGCTATGCCAAAATCTGTGCACTTAAAAACTGACCATGGACAACTAAACTGGGTTTCATGAATGTGAGCATAAATTCAGATTGAGAAAGAGATGAGTCTACTCTCCTTCAACTTTCTTGCCTGGTAAATGCACTATAGTTAATTCCTTCTTGGAAGGGTTACATTAATACTATTAGATTAATTGTATTATATTATGACAATTAGGCCATGTCCAATAATCAAAAGTATACTAGTATAGGAAAATACAATGTTGATTTATCAAATAAACGTGACACGTCATCTTAAAGCATGCTGGTACTTCTTTGTTTTCAATTAAATTTATTGAAATAAAATAAGTTTTATATATCATATCACAATATTTGTCTCAAAGGACAATATATCAATGTGCTAACAATGATGTTTAGAGAAAGTATAGCTAGTAATTGGACTTCCAGTCTTGATAGCTAAAACTTGTTACAATCATAGCTAAACCTCATTAATGAGAAAAAAAACTGCATTTTTCCCCTATAGCATGATGAGAAAAAAGTAGGAGACACTTCAGATATGCTTACTTCTATTCTGTAATTATCCAAGTGCATGTGCCAAGGCCACAGACCATTTTGTTTCTCTCCTTGTCATTTTTTATCTAGCCCACCTGACCGTAATCCTTTCATAACTATGAGTATATTGATAAAACAATAGGAAACTAAATGAAAAGAGATGAGCAACTGCACCAGTGTAATCTTATCCCTTAGTAGGACTTTTACTATTTTATTTTAATGTAATGTGTTTTATTGAGGAAAAGTTGTTTTGTTTTCTTTATAATATGGTAAAGGCATTCAGTATAACAGTAGCCACACATACTATCTCTTATTTGACAGAGATAACTCACCATTGATGACTAGAGACTGATTTGACATATTACCAATAATAATGATAGCAACTTCCTGAAGATTCTTATGTGTCAGGCACTATGCTTATCACTTTGGCTCATTGCAAAGCATATTTAGTAAAAAGAAAAGAGCCCATGACTGAGGCTATTACCATCCCTAGTTAAAGAAAAGAACATAACTCTGGATAATTCTTAAGGCTTCTAAGTAAGAGGGCTGAAATTCAATTCCATGTTTTTAAGAACATCATTCATTGGCTTCCGTAGTCATTACAGTTCCCTCTCACATTGACAGTTCTCCAGGATATGATAAAAATGACTTCTGGACGGAAGGTTGGCTTCTAAGCTTTCCAAATTATAACTAAAGTCATCCCAGGCTCACCCAGTCATTGTATACACTTATAAAACATGGTCTCCTATAAATTAAATACAGAAAATCAGCACCCTGATAATGCTCCCCTAATCTACCCAGATAAAAGAAGGGGGGTGGGGCTGGAGAGATGGCTCAGCGGTTAACAGCACTGACTGCTCTTGCAGAGGACCCGGGTTCTATTCCCAGCACCCACATGGCAGCTACGAACCATCCTTAACTCCACCTACCTACGCAGCATTGCATGACACGGGTGCACTCACATACATGCACACAATACACTCATACACATAAAATAAAAATAATAAAATATTTTAAAAGATGGGGGAGATTATGAATAAGTAATTGATAATGTGTGCTCTAAACTAACACTATCTCTTTGAAACAGAACTAATTCCATGTATCAGCTAAGAAACTCAGATTGTAGCCTCAGTGAGAGAACTAGCCACCACAGTGTCCAAGTTAACAGCTTGCTAAGATGATATGTCTGAAAGGAAGTGAAGTTTCTTGGTACTATGAAGGTTATGGAGATGGATCCTAGTATTGCAGATAAATATTTGTCATATTTTATGCATATTTCTTATTGAAATTTTGTGAATTTCATACAATAGCTCTTAATCAAATTTAGACTCGCATTCTCCCCCATCCACACCTCCCAAAGCCCTTCCCAACCAGATTTCATGCATTCTGTCATATATGTTAAGGCCTATGCAGTCAAGCATTTGTACCCAGATGTCCCTCGGTGCAAGTTTATCCACTGGAGTCTTGTCAGTTTAGCTAGAGTCATTTCTGTAAAGCAGATCAACTTTCTCTCACCCTGCAGTGTGCATGTCCCTCGATAGGACTCCTACATTAAACCTCACCCACCCATGGCTCAGGGACCATTGTGGAATAGAGAGCAGAAAGATTGTAAGAGCCAGGGTTGGAGGATTAACATAAGAAAATGGAGACCTTCAGGAATCTGGGAACTTGCTCATTTGAACTTGCACAAACAATATAATAGACAAAACAAATTCTGTAACATTGCTATAGATGATTCAAATGATTCTCCTGAAATAACACATTTAATTTATATGTAATTTGTTTGGCTTTCCTTATAATACAGTAAATGAATTCAGTATAATTGAGTACCCACACATATTATCTCTTATTTAATAAATACAATTACTACTAGAGATTGATTATACACATTATCAATAATGATAGTAACTACTGCCACTTACAAAACATTCTTATGTGTCGGACACTGTACTAGGCTAAACTTCTTACAATTCTATTGCTGCAGATGATCCAAATGATTTTCCTCAAAGAACACATTTAATTTATAATGCAGTAGGTGATGTGTGAAATAATACTTTTGGCTATATCTTGATAGGTAATCTTGATTGGTAACAAAATGATATAACCTCTTAAGAGTTATATAAGATGATGCTTACAATTGGAAACAAAGAAAATTACTTAATGTAACTACCAATACATGATATAAGCAGATTATTTTATGTTGCTTACTAATGATATTTGTGGTACAGATATAAAGTCATGGAAATACTTTCATTATCAACTGAGGGAAAAACAGCCTGGACACTTACTAGATTTAAAATGAGATACACACCTAGTACTGAATATTTAGAGAATCAGTAAATTCACTTTTAAAAAGTTACTCTAAATCTTTTCATTTGGAGTAGATAACCCAGGAGAACTTAAACTGTGATTATCATACATTTAGCTAAATGAGATTTAGTAGCTAGAACCTACAGGAAAATTGTAGGTATATCCAATTTCAGAATTATATTTTCTTATCTATCTTTTCTATGTTTTTAACATTTTCCACTTTTCTATGCTCTATTGTGTACCTCTGCCAAAGTTATTTAAAAATGTGGTCAGAATTTTTTCCTGTAGGCCTAATTCAACAGACACCCAAATGTTAAAAATATAAGTTACAGCCAAAGTTGAAGTATAGACTGATGTACATAAAAACACAGCGAGTATAGCTCTAGGCATAACAGCATAGGTTGACGCTGAAGGAGAATCAACTCTACCTTGCATTCTGGACAACCATGACTTGACTGCATTGATTCCAAGAGCCAGAGGGAAGGATACAGCAGGAAAGTAGGAAAGACAGGAAGAAAAAAGTTAGGAACAGAAATAGGAAGGCAGTATGAGAAGAGCAATCATGGAGGCTATACCACAGCATATAAGTAACACAAGGCAGGAGATGATTTTAGAACGGCAATGAAAACAATACCTCCTGAGTTTAAAATTCTAATGCATCAGTCACTCTAATAATTAGGGATAATTTAAAGAAAAGATGGAAAGTGAGCATGTTAACTGCCTCCGAGCCCAATCCTACTCATCAGGTAATGTTGGAGAAATTGCATAAAGGTAACATTTAGTGTATGTTCTCTATTTTACTATAGTCACCATTCCCTGTGACCTAGCCCAGGTCATGTTACAGTCTGAGACTTCTTTCAAAATAATCTGGGTACAGAAAGTATATGAGAATAAAGGTGAAATCTATTGGTCAGTAAGTAATAAATGCTGAAGATGAAGGATGAGAACATAGTCATTATACTATTCTATCTGCTTCTGTGCTACCTTGAAAAATTTCAAGCAAAACAAGACAATACTTGGGACTGGAAAGATGGCTCAGCAGTTAAGAGCACTGGCTGCTCTTCCAGAAGACCCTGGATTAGGTTCCCAGCACCCACATAGTAGCTAAGAGCTGTCCTTAATTCCAGTTCCAGAGGATTTTTTATTCTCTTCTGGCCTCTGCAGGCATTGCATGACACAGATATACTTACAGCCATGTAAGGAAAACACTCCTACACATAAAACAAAATAAATGAGAACAAAATAAAAACAAACCACATGCTGTACCATAAAGGTATACCCCAAACCCAGAGCACTTTCTTCATATCAACAATGCGTATATCTCACAAAGGAGTCACAGAGGCATTTTTTAATTTAGCAAAGTCAGACCTTCAAATATTATTATTTTTAAAACACTGATTTGGAAAT